AAATTATTATGATAGCATGATATCGCCATACGAACTGGTGATATCCTGTGCTGAAGCAGCAGGTAGTATCTAACGATTCACCATGCAATCAGACTAATCGTCGCCGCAGTAGGCCAATACTGATAAAGATATACAGATGAAAATATTGTGTGCTCTTAGGGAATATTGTATAGATTGCACATATATTAAGAAGTAAGAAGTTAACTGGTAATATTTGTACAAAGTTTATTAGAGATATATAATAAAGATTAAAAATATCATTTCATGTACGAAAGAACAGAAAAAAAATATATTATATATATTATAGTCAATTGAGCCGCGATGCTTAGTATTCCTTAAACAATAATAGTAATAGTAATACGACAAGATTTTACGATTATTTTTTATTATTATTTTTTTTAATAAGATTAATAAATAAATCCATGCATGGGTTTTTATGATGGAGATCTAAGGAATTCCTAAGATCACTTATTGGCCATTAATTGAAATTTTAATAAATACCGAAATTCTTAATAAAGAAATACGTATGATATTGCTTTAGATTTTATGACTATGTTCTTAACGATCCATATGGGCCTGTTAGTTCACTGCATAACCATGTAAAATCTGACACTTAGACCCTTAAATAAACACCAAAATACTTTTGAAGGGGAGATCTTACAACTAACTAATGTTACTAAGAAAGTAAATTCTTAGCATATTTAACCTAAGTCGTAAATGTATAATATAATACAATGGCAAACTTATGCTTTATGTGATATGTTTTGTATCTTAGAAGAAAATAAATATTAATCTGACTACTACGGATGAAATATCATTAAACTCGCTATAATTCTTTGAGATTTTGGAAACTATATAGCTTTATAGTATATATCGTAGATAGTCTACATTTATCAAACTGAATATACAAAGTACTTGAAATTGCAACTGTGGATAGAATACTCTATATATGTTTTATGTTTAACTGGAATGTTTGTCTAACTTCTATCTTATAAATATCTGACATATCTCTCTCCTCGTTCAGATAAATATTTATTATCTGTCTTATTAATTAGTAAAAATTAGTAAAAAAAACCAGTGATTGCCCAATCCAAAATAGAGTTACCTCTATTTAAAATTATTACAGTCAGCTAGTGATTTAAAAACTCCTGTGTAGTATCATAAGACCCTATGTCTATGTATCAAAATATTATGTGAGCAAAAAAGATATCTAGTGTTTGTTTTTGTTCATACTGTCTTGCTAGCCCTGACATATATATTCTTCCTTGGACATTATTTATTCAATTTGAGGATTTATCAACTAAATAAATCAATGACAATAAAACATTGTTAAGTGGAATGTCTGCAAAATTATTTATTCCGCATTCAATGCATTTATAACATAACTGTAGAATGTGTATGAGAAGAATTGAAGTCTTAATGAAATCAAAGTTTTGATTTAATTAAAAGTTTTTTATTTTTTTTTGTAAAGTCATGTTATGAAATATAAATAATTATAGAAAAATAAAATTTTTGATTTTAATGAGCATATGTGATGTGTTATAAAATATAATTTAATATCAAATCTTCTAAAACATTAATATACTTCTATTCATATATTATAATCTCATATTTGGAAATTTTAACTATTGTAACTATATATCCCATAAAAACTCGAAAAAAAAATCACATAACTAAATATTCTTCCCAAATTATTTTAACTCATTTTCAAAATTTTGGATTAGTTATTATTTAAAAAAAAAATATTTTATTTTGTATTATATGTGAGTAAATTTATTTTTATATATAGTTCAGATATGTAAAATTAATTGAAATATTTTCAAATTTTATTTAAAAAATCATATTAAGGTAAATTAATTATACTAAGACACATAATACGATTTGTTGAAAAATACGTTTAAATAAAATTCATTCAATTATAAAATTAAAATTTTTAAAACTGAAATATTTATTAGTCAGCAGAAATGATGAAAATATAAAACTTTTACTTAAATCGAAAATATTCATTTAAATTACTCTTCCACAATTAGTCTCTTTTTTAACAAATTAATTGTAAAATATTTTAAACAGCATAAATCCATTGCAATAAAAAATTAAACGAAAAAAAAAACTAATTTTGGATTATACTAAATACAGTCTCGTTACAATGTTCCTACAACACTTTTTCTGGCTTCTGCTTTATAAATGTGAATAGCTTTTAAGTATGACGAACGCCATAATTAGTAAAGGAACCACCATTACAATTTTTATACTGAACGTGTTTGATTGGTTAATAACAAATACCTTAAATCTCACATATTTCATACTCTTCATTTGTAGCAAGTGTAAAGAGGACGGAAGAAACCAGACTGTTGGCTTATTTCTTCTTTTCAGCGCGTAACGTTCCCTTTCAAACAAATTGTAGCTGCCTTCGTCATTTACTCTCATTGCTCTCAGGTTTCTGCTTTTATAGCATTGTTAATCTCTGGTTTTTTATTTTTGTACACATTTAACCACCATCAAACAAGAAACACATATCCAACGAAAAAACATGAAAATCAACTTGTCTAGTTAGCAAGCTCCAATCTAGTTTAGTTGACTGCAAATCGTCGAGTGAAGTGGTTGCTTCAGTCCTGTTGGATTTACAAGCTGTGTTTTTGAGTTTGTCGTACGTCAAATTAACAAGCTTACCAAAAAGAAAAACAAGAAAAAAAAGATGCAATAATAAAAAACTGTAATGAAAGAAACACAAAGAAAAATAAAATAAAGAATTACAAACGTAATGAGCGCCTTTTACGAATAGTGGATTGAAGACTGATTTGTGTTTGATTGATTTCAGTATTTAGTGAACATTTAACGAGTTCAGATGTACGAGTAGCTAATGAAATATAACTAGTGAATTGTGTAATTTTAAAAATATAGTAAACAATTCTATGAAATAATTAAATTAAGTTTATTTGCTTAATAAAATAAAAAAACAAAATAAAAAACATAATTAGCAAAACAGTGATATATTTAATAAATTTATACACACATTCAGCTGTACACTTATAAAAACAAAAATTAATTGAGTACAAATAATTCAAAACTATACTCTCGCAAAAAATTTAATAAACAAAATAATATTTATACATAATATTGATGTTAAAAATGCTTTGTCAACCCACAATGCGTCCAGCAAGTCCAGCTGAATCAGAAATATCCGTCGGTGGTGCACCAAGTCCACTACCACAACATCACCATTTGCAACGTAATAGTGCTTTAGATTTACTACAACATCAACAATTATTGATGCAACAACATGCAGCAGCAGCTGGCCTCATATCGCGCTCAGCCGTCGGAGCTGTCGCAGAAGAATACTTTCAGCCGCTGAAACGCTTGCGCATGTCAGCTGAAGCTGCTGATACTCGTGATCGTACCCCCAGTCCAGTGCAAATTTCAGTGGCAACAACTAACGCAACAACGACAACAGCAGCTGCTAATTGCAAATCTAATATTGAGGGAGTGAAAAGTTTCTCTATTGCAGATATATTGGGTCATGAGAAACGCGGTTCTTCAGCTTCACCGCCACCACCACAAACGCGGACGATGGCAACTACTAGTTTGTTGCAACCTCGTACAGAACCATTAGATGTAGTAAGTGCAGCAGCCGCTGCTGGTGTGCCACATCCTGCCGCAGCTGCTATGTTATTACCTACTGCACAGATTGTGCGACCTTGGGATCATTTACTGGGTCCAATGCCTGTGCGCCCATTCATACCACCCGCACTATTACATTATGAGCAACGTTTAGCTTTGGACTATCATCGTCAACTGCAAGAACATTTTAATGCACAGGCACAAATATTACGCCATATGGGTATGGATATAATACCATCGGAAAGTGGTTCGGAACGCTCTAGTTCAGCAGCTAGTGATTGTTGTTCCCCCGAAATTTTACGTTCTTCAGGAGAATCTGGTGCTCAGACTCGTCATTCACCACATACTGGTAACGAACGTGAACGTTCGGGTAATTCTAATTCTACGAATGGTAACTCAGCTTCAGGAAGTGGTAATAGTTCCAGTAATACTGGCAATTTAAGTTCCAGCAACAACAAAACCAAAGCAAATGGTACACCTCTAGATGCACTATTTCAAATGACAACGAAAGATTTTGATGAATCGCAAGGTAAGTTTGTATTTACTATACATATATTGACAATTTTTATACCAAATAAACTAATTTCAAAAATAATAATTATGAATAGAAAAACTAATATTGTTATTAATCCCTTATATTAAAGCAATTAACAATTTGAGTCTTAGCTTATATCTAAAGACACAGAACTAATCGCCCAACGATTAGTTAGAATAGTTAACATATATCTTAAGACGCAGAACCAATCGTCCAACGATAAGTCAGAATAGTTAACATTTTTTAATTTTTGTTTATTTCTACAACTTATTGTAGATATGAGTAGGTTTTATATCTGTTCTAAAAGTTATAGCTTTAAGTACACTCAGAAAAATATTCTCTAACCACATACTTCCTAAATTAACCTGATAATTTTGTTAAAAAAAATTTTAGTTGATATGTATATATACATATAATATTATATATTTATGCATATAACATGTATATATATAAATATAGTGTATTAATGTCATAAACTGTTACATAGAACAATTTAAAAATCTTTTAAGACTGTGAAAACATTCTATGGTGTGTGCTTTTAAAACTTTAAACTTAACTAAATTTGCAAAATTACTCGTTACATATATAAGAGTATATATAAGTTGTAACAAAAAAACAATTATTCGTTACAAACAGTCATTACAATCACTCATTAAACCAGTACGTTAGTTGCTAACTAAATTAAATTAATTAATGTAGATGCACAATTAATAATTAGTAATGAACTCGTGAACTAAATAACACCTCAACCAAATTAAATTAACAAAAATTATATACCGATTTTAATTATATACCTTGAACTTACTTAACACAGTATTACTTTACAGAATATCATAAACTTAACTAAACGAAGCTGTAAATCAAAAAGTCCCTATAAACCTTGAATCAATTCCGAATGCATTGAAATCAATTAATTTTTTTTAAATACTCGTGTTTTAATTTGTTAACAACTTAATTCAAAGAAAAAAAAACAAATTTAAATAAATAAATTATTTAAAGCATTTATAGAAACAAGTTCAAATAAAATTGGGCAATTTATTGTATTTAAAGAAAAATAGAAATAAAAATTAATACAAATCAAGTAGCGTTTTTCATTAAACTGCTCATTTAAATTAATAAAATTAAATATTTAATTAAAAATAAAAATTCTGTTCCAATTTAAAATGTTGCCAAATAGTTTTAAATTAATTCTCGTCGATTAATAAAAATTGAGAATGAAACAAGTTTCGTGACTATTTCTATTTTATGTGCTCTGTCCCGCACACTACACTAGTAGGTTGGTATATGTGAACAGTGTGAATAGGTAGTAAGCGGGATACTGAAATAGGTATGTTTAAAGTTATGCGCTTATGATTGCAAATTATGCGATATTGCTGAATTGCAAATAAAATATCTATGAAGACCTTAATTTGCTTATTACATGCCTCGACTTTCTAAACATGGAACCAAAGAAACAATGATAATAAATAGAGAAGAAAAAATAGATAATATACAAATGTATTTCTCTGTCATTTTATTACTAATTATTTGCAAAGACAAAAATTAAGTGTGGCCAGGTATCGCTTAACAGAATATTTTCAAAAATATTACGTAAATATGCTTGTATAACTGTGAATAAGTTCGTGCGCCATTTTCTTTTTTGTGCATTCCATAAAGGTTTTTTATCTACATTTAACTGCCTACGGTAACCCACCGTAACCCTTAATGAACTCACTTATTTCAAAGTAATTTTCTTTTCGATGATAATATTGTAATTAGTTTGCTTTTTACGACTAGTTTTTCAATTTTATAGCCGTACGTATTTCCATTTAAAGTGGGCGGTGTATGAATTTTTACTACCAGTACTCTGCCTCAAATTTGACGCCATCGTGGTTAATTGTTACACGCAGTTAATCATTAGAGTTAATGACTTTTTGAATAACACATACCAGCATTTACATTTAACTCTAATGACTAGTTACTAGTCTAATATACGAGTACTTGTTATTTGTAAGTAACGAGTACTAACTCGCTTTAGTTTTTAAAATACTAGGCATGAGAATGAGAGAATTTGGACCCCACTGAATATGATTACTAAGCAAAAATCAGTTATCAAACCACTACTGGGTGGAATTCAAATAACTTGCATAATCACATAATTATACGAATATTAAGTATATTAGAAGTAATTATATTGATATTATTTGACAATTATAATATAATAAGAAACTAAAGTGGTATTAACTAAAGTGGTATTGTTTTCTTTCTTCACTTTTACCTTTACTATATTAATACATATATGTTGAATTAATATTATTTTTAAAATCATGTGGTTAGATGCTACTATCTGGTAAGATAGATTGATTCTGTCTTTTTGAATATAATCTCCCAATGGAAGCAAATATCTATAACCACATTTACTATTAGCCGAGAGAACAATATTGAGATGGAAGTTTATATACCCATCTGAAGTTAGGAAATCTTCAACAATACACATTCTGGTTTTCATCCTAAGACCTTAGTGTCATCTATTCGATAAGGGTCGATTGTTAGCACAATATATTAACCATAGTCGCAGTGCACCGCCGCTAGAATCCATTTTTATTCTAATTTTAACAGATTTTTAATTATATTCCTAAATGGTTTAATATACATATTCAGAAGTTACAGACCAATTCTTTATATAAATTTTTTTTTTTGCTTAAATATTTTAATATTATGTGTTATTTAGATTATGATATATTATATGCAAGTGTTGATCTACAACAGATTTTTATTAACCACCAATGGGTCTGTTGTGTTTCCCAAGGACGCTTGTTATTAGTAAACTTACCTCCACTGCTATATTGTGAAGATATTTTCGGAGACATAGGTATATTTTCTGCTTCTCCATAATAACGAAAGTATCTCTTCTTGGAGGTCTTAAAGTACACAGATAATTTTAAAGAACACAAAATATTGGAAGTCATAAAGCTTACAATAGTAAGAAAGCACTGCTTTACAAAACTTTGTTCCCGATACTTTTTACACTGAATGTATGCCAAATTATTTCTTTGTATTTATTTTTTTTATTCAATATTGGGAAACCTGGCAATTTATATATCGCTTTTATTGAAGAACTCCTTTTTTGTGTTTAAAGTATGACGGAACGGATATCGGCAAATGTTTACTATGTCTCTTGAATTCTTCGAATCAGAACTAAATAATTGATGGAATGAGTTTTTCTTCTGTTAAATACTTTAGATCTTCTAATCTTTATGGAGTTGGTTACAAGATCACTTATATCTCAAACGAAAGATCGCTGTGAATATCAGAATTTTTGAAATATCAAAGAGCTTTGAATATGTTTTTTAAAGTGATGTTTTGAAATTTTTGCGTTTTATCAAGATTGGAGTCACCTAACTAAAAGTGGTACCAACATATAGTCAAAAATAGTTTGATTACTTGCTTCTGTATGGGCATCCGGTCGAAGCTGATTGAAGTTTATGTACAGTATTGCAAGTAAATGATTAATTCTTACTATATCCAATAGAGGAAATAAAAATGAGTATTTGTTCTCCACTGAAATACTTGAACTCTTGATAAAAAATTTGATGCACAAACGGATGATCGCTCTCATTAAAAATTAAATATTTTCAATTTTTAATTGTTTATTAGTTTGTTTTCAACACTGCACTTTTTCTAGTCTTTTTCGTCGTTGATATATAAATATATGCATTTAAATAGGTCCTTCACCTCATATTGGGTTAAATACTATCGATAAAATGGTAATAATATTTTTTAAACATAATTAAATCTTGAGATTATAATATATTTTTTTCAATTCAATAAACTGATAGTTTATATCAGCAAAATGTTAATATATGTAATACATAAAACTGAACTTGTCTCATAATAATTATATGAATTAGAAGATAGGTTTTAATGAATTCAAAAAATTTAAAATTCAATAAAAACTCATCTCCACAAATTATACCCTCACATATCGTAGATGAGTTTCATTATCAAATAACTGCACAAATCAATTAATACCTACCGCACTCACATTTTCCAGTCATACAAACTATTTAAGTTCAAATTATTTTAAATACTTTTTTCAATTTTCCACAAAGTCAACACTAATTCATTTTATTAATATTCCACAAGGGAAATCTCTTTGTCACTAAAGTGACAAAAACATGTTCATGACAAAATTATGTATATTCATTCATATAATTCGATTGTATCTGAAGAGCTCGGCAGTGTGCAACTCTATGCATGCATTTAAACTTACGCATACGTTTATGTAGATATAGATATATATATTTATGTATATATAGTAGAAAAACTATAGTCAACAAAATCGTTTATCAATCATCGAATATTTTCTTGATGTTTTCGATTTTTTATTATTAGTATTATCTACTGCGCTACTCCTCTAGTTCATTTGAGTTTTCGAGTTGCCTCTACTATTGCTCGTCTGGGTGTTGGAAATTTTTACATAAATTTTATTAATTTCGTATCACTCATTCATGAGTTCACACATAATGAAAATGCAATAAAATTTATTGTTTTAGGTAGCAAATGGTGAATTATGCATTCCTCATATGCAGCCATTGTCGTGTTAGTTTTTATTTGATGAAATGATTGCATGTTTAACTAACAGATACATTGACTCTCGAGACCCTACGACTATGTTGGATTTGTCAGCAACACAATTAATTTATGATTTTACAATTATTTTATTGTTTCACGTAGGTCCCCTCGTTTTTAAGAGGATTTAATTACTATTAAGCGGGTGTTGTGTAAAATAATTATTTATATGTTCCCATATTAATAGTGAGTTTAGCATAAAATATTTTAATTTGTATAAACTTGTATTTCCACAACACTATAAATTGTTTATTAGAAACATTTTTGAAAATCGCAAATACCATATTGCTATCATATTTAAATATTTA